CTGACTCTATTCACATGGCCTGGGGAGCAGGGCTGGGCCATGTGAATAGAGTCAGGCTATGCACAGCCCCTTGGGAACAGATTTTCGCCCCCCAGCAAGCCCATAGGGAACAGATTTCATTTGATATGGGATATGCCCATATCAAACTGGGCCAGCACATGCCACGACGATGCATTATGAAGGCAGCAGCGTACCTAGAAAAGATACCCAAGACAGTGGAGCTCACTGGGAAATGGCATTATCCCAGTTGAGATCCGTTAGAAATGGGCAGGTGCCAAAAGGGCGGATAACGCCTTACGCTGCTTGAGGCAGGGTTGTAAGGGCTCGTCTGACCAGACCTTAATACGTGCCCGCAGAGCTCCTGCAATCGTGTTCTGTGTTATTTTTTTTTCCCAGGTTAGATCGGTGACTCTGGCAGGCCTCGGGTGGTGCTCGTGAAATGTTAATCGGAGCACAGTACGCTGAGCAAAGGGAACAAAGCTGACTGTTCTGCCCTGTAGCCAAAAAAAGAGAGAATGCCAGCAGATATTACCATGAATGGAGTCACACAGAATAGTGACATGCTGTCCTGACTCAGTTTTGCGATGCCTGTGTTACAGCATGCTAATGCAGCGTGACAGGATGTCACGCTCCAGTCCTGAAAGCACTGGGGGATTAGTCTGTGCCATTTTGCTCTCCCATTCAGTCACAGAGCTGATCTCTTCCTCCCTGAATGTACCCATCCTTGTCTCACAGTGGTGTAAAATGGTGAAGAAAGGCCACTGCTTCTGACTCAATGTAGTTTTTTCACCCCTTTCATCACCCCCCAACTTCTTTTGGTGGAAAAATATGAAGACTCAAGCAATAAGAACAAAAATCTTATTTGAAACTAAAACTCTAGTTGAGTTATTTTGTTAAAACTTTTCAGCACAGCCAGAGGTTATAGAAATTATTTCGCTTTTGGTTTGGTGGGGTTTTTTTTGGATGGTTTGTTTGTTTTGTAATATCGGAGACTTTCACCTACTAACTTGAACTAGGATTTTTAGAACTGGCATAATTTGTTGTAGTAAAATCCCAACAGCTGAAGCACTGCTTTGAGGGCAATGGGCAGAGTCAGTCTTTACTCAACCTGATGCTTCCCGAGCCATATTCTGTGAATTCCCTTCTTCCCCTCACCTATAGGGATCAGGGTGATGCTGAAAACCACTCCTGAAGTGCTTGTACTAGCCAGGAAGCTAGTGCAATTTTGTTCCTCCAAGGCAGGAGAATGGCTGCATACTCCTGCAGCCAACTATTTTGGTTAATCCTTCACCCTGAAGACCCAGAGCAGCTGTGGTTGTACTCAAGGAGAGGAGGAACTAGCAAAAAACGTTTAATTGCTCCAGGTTTTTTTCCAAACTAGTCTTAGAGACACCAATACCTGTTGGAAAACAACTCGCAGTCCAAGGGGGCAGGCTGTAGCAGATGCTCCCCATTACAGGAGTGAGGGCAAAGCTAAGAGATTTAGGATACAGCTTGAAAAGATTGCTAGCAGAGTTATATAATTTGGTTGCTTCTGCTAATAGGCTTCTGAACTTGATTTTCCAGAAATGTCCTTGCTGCTTTCTGCCTTATTAGCCTATGCATTGCTAAATAGATCTAGAAAGTGACTGAATTAATATGATTCTTGCTGTATTTATTGCAGAAGATGGTGTTCCAGCCAGTACTGCCAATGCAACCGTTTATGTGTCAACTCCAGAATCTGGTAAGAGTTCAAATTCATTGCTATCTGGTATTCTGAAGCTCCCATTGTCTTTTTAGCTTTCAGCTTTTCCAGCTTCTGGGAGAAACTAGGTGAATTATTTCATGTAAGGTGATTGTAGAGCAATGTGCTTCCCTCGGCCTCTTATAAAACTCTGTTGAAAAGAAAGGATTGAGGGATCTTAGTAAGGAAAGGGTTAATCTGAGCAGGCTGCATTCTTTGTTTCAGGTGAAAAATGCTGAAATTCTGTGAGTTCCTATGCTCTCAAGGAGAGGTTTGAGTGTGATCGGATATTAACAAATTAGCTAAGACTCTTAGTTCAAGAGGCTGTCAGATTGAGAATAATTTGGGAAACAACATCGGTTAAGGGATATGGCAGCAGGGAGTAGCTGATTGGATCGACATAGAGTGACAGAAGAGGACATGGACTTTGATAGCAAAGAATTACACAATAGATGCTGATGTTGGACCTCAGTTAATAGGAGAGAATACCTATGCATAAAGCTGTCGTTTGCAAAAATGCTGCTGGTAACTTCTTGAAACTATTGATGTCAAGATTCACGTTTGGGGGTAAGAGGGTGGCACCAGTGCCCTCAGTTTCAAAAGCTGCATTCTCTCTGTCTTTTGTTTGTGATTGTTTTCACTAGATCAGACTGAAAGTGCTAAAACTATGACGACTTAACAGAGAAAACACCTGCTTCAAAGGGTAAAAGTCGGTGATTCTGTTCAACTGACACATTGAGTTCTCTTTATTGTGTAGCTTTGTAGTTATGAAAAACCAATATTGACCATATTTCATTCACATGAGCTAAATACCAACTTCTTTATTAGTTTGAATATTGAAGACTGCTGCATTTAATAAGCGATGCATGTGAGAGAAGAATACTTGAACATGGGATTCTATTTTTTTATGACTAGAGATACTAATGAGTCTGTTTTAGAGCTGAAAGCACTGAGATGATTGTGATGTATAGACGTGAAGTGCTAGTAGTGGAGGTGAATAAGATGCAGCTAGGTGAAGTATATGTATGTTATGTTTATTACAGCAGAAGAATTAGTCCTTTTCAAATTGTGTTGCTTTTATGTTTCAAAAACCCTAGTGTTCATGTCTGTTTCAAAGACATTTTGTAAAGGCCCAACGCTTCACAGTGAATGAGCTCCCCAAATGTTTCACTGAAATTTCTCTTGCAGCTTTTTGTCATAGAAGGGAAAACAGTGTTGTTATTCTTGCCTATGAGAAGAGCATCAGAAGCCCACTATGAGATTAAAGCACTTTGTGGGTGTGGAGCAAGCTCCCAAAAAGGTCCATTCTTTGAGACGCTGCTATTCTTGCTGAACAGCCAGCAAACTGAGAGTGGAGGAAGAGACTATAAGTTATATTTTACAAGTTCTAGTGTGAACATTGCATTTAGAAGTATTCAAGTCATATGAAAAAAAATTACATGTCATATCATGAGTTGTTTCTATTCTTTCATGTATCCCATCCATGATAAGTGCTAGAAGACATAGTAGGACACATGTTGGGCTATTGTCAGGGATTTAAATGAGCATCTGAGCTGACAGTAGCACTTTCTGCTTGTATTAGATTACAAAATTGAAAGCTGGGCTCTTAAAATGATTAATTGAGGGATTTTTAGCCCAGATTCCTCAGCTGCAATATCACCAGTCCATTCCCTTGAAAGTGTGCCAGGGGTACATAGGGTCTGCAGTATGGCATCCATGCACAGCAAGACACACTGATTTAAACCTTGCTATTGCCTTAGCAATGTTTGGGCAACTCTGCTCCCCTCTTTCCATACCAGCAGCAGCAGCTGGAAGTGATCCCTGCTGCCTGAGGGAGCCCTTTCGCCTCCCCTCAGCCTCCAAATCTCACCCTTCTGGAGGAGAGAACTACCAGGAGTCACCTTACAAAGGGCACCAAGTTCACTCCAGGGAGTATCGCTTACTAAAGAATTCTATTCATCTCATCCACGATGCCCTAAGCTTTGCTGCACACCTCAGAGGAAGGCCTGCCAAGTGTTCTTTTTTCCCCAGAAGTCTAGGTGCAGAGGAAGAGAATCTGGGAAAGCTAGCCAGAGAAGATGACTCAACCAGGGCTTGAGGTAGACAGCAAAGAGGAAAAAATTACACAAAGACTAGTAGAGCGTCTTCCCCTTCGCTCTTCACCTGTAATTTATAAGCTGTGTTTCTGTGTGTCACTCACGCTTCTTTCCGGGGAGTTTACATCCCTTCTCCTATTAAATAGGAATTCAGCAAAGTGCTGGTCAGCGGTCTAGTCCAGCGGCACAGTGAACCCAACCATCCATGCCAGGCTCCTTTCCCCTCACCCGTTCCCTTGGAAGTCATGCCAAGCACCTCTGTGTAACTCCCAAAGAGCATACGCCTCTTCCTGAGAGGATGGCTGGAAGGTACAGCTGCTGACTTCCAGTGGGCAACTTGCCGATGGTCCGCGGGCCAAACCTTCCCACTGATATCAACCATGTGCACTTTGAATCCTCTTTAAAAATGTGTGAGAAAGAAAGCTCTGTAAGGGCTAGACTTTAAACAGAAATTCACTGCCTTTGTGAGAGAAGGCAGCCAGAGGTATTTGTTTATTTTATATTCATGCATGATTAAATAAATCAATAAAGATGTGGATGCCTTTCTTGCAGTAACAGAAGCTGCGAACGCATCAACTCTGCAAGCAACGACGTCGCAAGCATCAACGCTGACAACACCTACAATCAGAGCTACAAATGAATCCATCACAAGCAGTAAGTGAAGATTTCTTTGAGCTAATTGTTGGTGCTGTTCCACTGGTCATTCAGGAAATTTGGCAGCAGCGCTTCTTGGCTTGGGAATTTGTTTTACAGATAGTGAACTCTTTGGTGAAGCTTTGCAGATATGTGCAGGAGCTTCCTCCTGGTCAAGCTTGAGGCAGCTCCAAGCCAGGCCTTGTATTATCACAGGCTTGTCTTCAGTGGGATGACCCACCTGTGGGACAGGGCATGGCTTTCTCTGCAGTGAAGGGAGCTCTGTCCCTGTTGATCTTCAATTTAAACGAAATATTCTTTTGATCATTTAAAACTAAGCTGCAAGCAGGAAAATAGGTGTGTTTTGCACATATGTGTATAAAAAATCAAATAAATAATTCGAATATAGTTTCTTCATTAGGCACCACACCTTCTTCAACTAATGCTACGCAACGAATAACAGAAGGAACTACAACACAACCACCAGTAAAAGCGACCACTACAGCAGCAAATAAAAGTGACAGCACAACAAACGGTAAGTGATGGTTTCATTGAGCCATTTCTGACTCATTGTGTGCTACGTTTGTCAAACGGTGTGGAGCAATAAAAGGAGGTCAAAAAGAGTACTTTGGGTTATGGGTTTGGAGGCTTGGGGAAGCAAAGCTGTTCATCCTACCACATTACATATCTTTAATGAATCTTGCCCTAGAATCTTACACAAAGGATGTTATACCTTTTAATTAGTAGTAGAGATGATCTGAAGCCATTACACAGTATTTTAATCTCCCTATAATTGAGAGAGATGTATTTGGAAGGATTTTAATTTTTTATTTTCTTTTGTGTTTTGGTGGGTTTTTTTTTAATAAGTATTTCGTCAAAATAAATGATTCTGTGTGATCAGAATGGTGTCAGAACAACCTCTTTTGTTTTTTATTTTTATGTATGTTACAATTCTACAGTTAATTATGTTCTATATTATTATGAGTCACACTACTGAAAACAGAGAGGTGGTACTAATTACCCTACATCAATCTCAGGAAATACTTTTGTTACTCATAAATCTTCAGAATAACGTGTGTGTTGGCCCAGTGCATCAGATTGGATTCTAGAAAAAGAAAATTAAAAGAAAAAAATCCTACGTATCCAGCAAGTAGTTGGATTCATTTAAGCAAGTATAATAACATCCAAGAGGAGCTCAGTAAACTTAAGATGAAATTCAGTCTCCCTTTTATGTCTATGAATTACACTGTAAATATTTGCTCAAATCTTTTGCTGAACCAGAGCTTTGAAATACTTCTTTTTTTATATATATTTAATTGACTCAAAAATTAACAAGAAATACTCCAGATATTTAACTCAGTAGTCAGTGGTACACCAGTGTTCTCGGAACTGATATTTAGAGCATACTGATCTGTGACAAATTATTAGAACTTAACTTCTCTTCCCTTGGTTTCCTTGCCTGAAAAGGGACTCCTATGAAATGGCCTGCATGCCTTCTTTGTGCAAATTCTCCTTTAAAGCCACCCATCATGGACCCAAGCCTGCTAAGCTGCCTGGAGAGCAATCACCCTTTCACTCAGTGGTTACATCTTCTACTGATGCAGCTTTCCTGCTGTGCTTGGCGTAGGGAGTGGTCTGATTGTCAGCCCCAAGTCTTCTGGTTTTTGGCTTGGCTTTTAGACACTGGTATTGGCGAGTCACAGAATACAGTCTGGCTGATGCACAAGCTGCTGAAGAGATATCAAAGGCCACAAACCATCTTTTTAAGTTTGCATTTGTGACCCTGTGCGCCTGTCAAAAGCCCACAGCATGGCGCATCGCGTTACGGATGCGATTCCCAGTCCTTTCAGTCTGGCAGAGGTTCCTGGCTTGTGGGTACCGGAGCAGCACAGCCACCTGGAACTAAACCTTGGTGACAGGTAGAGCTCCCAGCAGTGGAAGGAAAGCTAATGAGGAGAGGCGTGCCTGCCAGTGCAGCTTAGCTCCGGCCACTGCTCTGCACTGATGCCCTGAAAAAACAGTGCTGGGAGTACGATGGTGCTGGAGTTATGATGGGCCTGGGTGAGAAGTTTTGACCAACGTGCTTCCTTTCTATTCTGCGTGTTCTCTCCCCACCAGCTAGTCTCTGGTTGTTTGGGTCATGATTTATTTTTAAAACTCATTCAAGCTAAAAAAAACCCAAAAACTTGTGATAAAAATGGTTGATAGACGAACCTAAAAACAGGGCTCGCTTGCCTGTCACTCCCCTTTGTGAAAAGGAAAATTAGAGAAGCCATTGGGAACTACCCTGCAGAAAAAGACTCTGTATTTTCTTTCGACGCTGGGTAGTATTTGGAAAAGCTGTGTATGTGAAAAGAAATACTAGTGTTTTTTAAGACAGAATTCTGGTCTACCTTTCAAGAAAGCCATACCCTTGGCTTCACCACAAAGGAGTGGGAGAGGGCGCAATGTAGCAGCTTTTTGGACAGGCCATAGCACACGTGGCAGATGTGTGTACCAGACCATGCAGAAAACCCAGAGATCCCTCTGTCACCATCGGGCTGCTGGCCACAGCCATCTCTCCGTTTCCACCCCACGCGTTGGCACGGCGAGATGTCATTGGCTTCACTGCATCCTCCAAGCCTCTGCCAGCATCCCCACTGCATCTCCTGAGCCTCTGCCAGCATCCCCACTGCATCTCCTGAGCCTCTGCCAGCATCCCCAGCAGCAGCGCAGGGCTGAGGGAGTTGCACTCCCTGAAGCGAGCACAGGCGTAGCCAGACTTCTGCTCTCAAAATGGACAGGAGATGAAAGTTGTCTACTCTCTCTTTTTCTTTTTCACTAGAGCTCACTTGTCCCCCTTTTTGGGCTGGCTGTATGGGACTGAGGCCGAAATTGGCAGTGCCTTTATGACACTTCGAAATTTACCTTTACTACACCTGATTTTTAATAAAAAGCGGGCACTTCTGTTGTTTTGTAACGAAGACCATCACTTTCTCTTCTTCAGTCCCTGCTAAAAGCTTCAGCAAATGATCACGTTCACACAGCAGAGATTTGACAGGGCTTCCTGTCTCCGCTGCAATTTCCGTGGCTGCTGTCACCTTTTATTATAGATTGAGGAAAAGCCCCCAGTGCTTCATACACTGAAATCGAGCAAGTGACTTTGTTTTGGTTTGTTTTTTTTAAGTCCTCAGTATTCTTTTCCTCTGCAGGCCATAAGTACAATCTCTCCCTCTTTGCCCTTAGTTTATTGTGTTGGAAGCCAGCAATTAAATTGGATTTAAACTGAAAGAGGGCAGATTTAGGTTAGATATAAGAAAGAAATTCTTTACATTGAGGGTGGTGAGGTACTGGAACAGGTTGCCCAGAGAAGTTGTAGATGCCCCATCCCTGGAAGTCTCAAGACCAGGTTGGATGAGGCTTTGGGCAACCTGGTGTAGTGGAGGGTTTCCCTGCCCATGGCAGGGGGGGTGAATCTAGATGATCTTTGAGGTCCCTTCCAACCCTAACCATTCTATGATTCTAATTAGACTTGTCTCCTTAACCCTCTTGTTTATTAATATAAGGGGTTAAATCCAATAGTTCACATTTAGTCAGAGAGTGACTTCACTTGTGCAGTTCAGGCCCCAGACCAAGAATTTATATGGTGCCATACTACAGTAAGTTGCATCTGCAATCAGGATTTCATATCCTGGGATGCTTGGAGTTATCAAAGAGAATACAAAATGAAATGCAACGAAAGATTATGTTCTTCCTCCCTTGCATACGGAGCAAGCAGCTTGTGCAAGGTCAGTGCTCAAGGTATTAAATTACAAGTAAGAGTGGATTTTTGCCTGTTACATTTCTGATTTATATCATGTCACTCTCCTGGATGATGATACATCATGGTGCAATGAAATATTAAATATTAAAAAGTGAGAAAGGGAA